ATAATAGTTCTACATACCTCAACTAATAATACTAATAGGCCTATAATACACAGTTACTTCAATGCTGCAGGTACCCCTTGAAATGGTACAAATTTGTTCTTTCTTTTGCTTTAAGTCACTTTGTACCCTTTCTGTTAGTCAAAAGGTACACTTTGGACCTCTTAAAGACCAATATTGTACTTTTGAGGGAACATTCTTCAAAAGTGTACCCGTAAGTACAAAACTGTTCTTGTCTCGTACCTCTATTTTTGTGTGTGTGTAGCACCCAGGGTTTTTGGAGCTCAGCCTATTCAAGTGACTTAAAGTCTGTTCTGATGCATTGATTTTCACCCTTTATTTTATTTAACCCATCTCTTGCAAGTCCTCTAAATTTATGGAGGTGCAGTGCTACAGTAAACTGCTGCAGCATCACTTTAATTGTGTAATTTGGCAACAGCCATAAAAAAAAGCCCTCCCGCACAGGTGCTCTCATTTGATTTGCCTCGTTTGAATCTTTTATGTTGTCCTCATCAACTTACAGTCTTAATGAAGACTGGGAAACTCCGCTCGGATATATGCGACTTCTGAAAACCTGATGGTGATGGTTTTTTAGTACCTTAAGTAGACAGGAGCTCCTCTGAAAACAGGATTTGAGAAACTTTGTGTGATCTCAAAAATATTGACAATATGCAGATTTCCAACATGCATTTTTATTCCCCTGGGTTCAAGGTCAATTGAGTAGCTGTTCACTAGCCTTTGATGTCTGTCCAGTTGTCATGAAATTGTGGATTGTTTTAGATTGAGCATTTGAAGGACTCCTTGTCCATGTTGGCTTAAAATTGAGTTACAAATTCAATTCCTGGCTCTTGGCTTTGTCTGATATTATTTAGGTTATGATGAACAAAGTCAGGGTTCCTATGCACCCTGAAAAACCTGGAATACCTGAAAATTTAGAGGATAGTTTTTCAGTCATAGAAACATCAGGAAATGTATAAAAATAAACAAATATCTTGGAAATAATCAATGTGTCTTGGAAATTTTAATTGTATTTTAACCCCTCACTCAGCTCATCTTGGGTGCAAATTAAGTTTGAAACTTGACTGTTGGTGGGATGAGCTGCACACTATGTACCAGACTCAGAGTGTCAGTTGCTGATGTTACAGTTAGAGTAAAACTGTAGTAAACTGTAGTTAATTTGCCGGAGATCATAGCGGAAAAATCTCCTGCTGTTAGAACAGCCAAGAGCGCCACAAAGCGAATTAAACCGGATTGTCCCATAAACACTGACCACCTAACTGTAATGAACTTGAGACACTTCATCAAGGAGGAATGAAACTAGAGTTAAATGTGTCAGTACCAGGCCTCCCGGTGGATGATATGATCGTTTTTGTCCTGTTTTGTCTAGAAACCTTCTTAAAAATGTCCTGAAAACAATTTAAAAGTAAAAAGTAATCAAACATAAATTACAGTAATGGAGGAACTTAATATTTGGAATTAATCTAAGTGAAGGGTTTTATGTTATATAATATATTTATAAGTATATTATATAGATAGTATAATATTTATAAGTTTTTTTTATGCTATGCTATATATTAGAGTGGATGAACGAAATGAAAAGTTGTTCCCTGGAACTGAGGCAAATGTTTGCAACCTATAATCATAGTCATTACTTATCATTAGTTAGTTAACAGGATCAGTGTTTAAAGTCATTGTCTTCCCACCAAATGAATTCAGCTTCATTGTGACTCAGATCAGTGCAGCTCTGGCTGAACAAAGCGGCTCACACGCTAAACCTTCCTGTCTCGTAAAGAAGCCAACTAATATAAAAAGAATGAATCGATAAAGTCCTCTCTTGAGCTGAACCTAAAAATACTCTTTGGTTTCTTCCCCGGAGCAATTATAAATCTCACCTGAAGAATGGATATTTGGTAATGAAAAAGAAGACTAGGAGGGGCCTTTGAGGATTAATACTTTATATCAAATTAATCTCAGCCCTCGGGTGTTCATCTACCTTCTGCATGGGACTGGATCCTCTAAAACTTGACCTCTGAGAGACCAGAACAGGAAATTAACCTGGCCTCCCACAGTTCCAGGAAGTTGGTGGAGCTGCTTCAGATTAAAAGCTGGGTTCGGCCTGTGTTTGTGTCTATGTAAATGAAAGGCATGGCCCGTGTCCCGTTGTTGTGGCGCCTTGGCCGGCGAACAGCATCGAGGGGTTCTGTCATAATGATGGCGGCCGCCCGGGCTTAGACAGCTCGTTAAGTTTTCCTGTGGCTTCTAATCATCCCAGGTTCACAGCCCAGTGTCTCTCAGCGAGGAGGGGAGGGAGCTTTGATCGTCAGCCGTAAACACTCCACGCAGACACAATGCATAAACATGTGCACTTCACATCCACGCACACTTGTACCATCACACAAACGCGTCCCTCCCTCGCTTGTTGTCGCTGTCTGAGGCTCATTTTGTTGTTGCCGAATGGAAAAGCAGTCTACCGCACAAACACCCTGTCATTCCCGCTGTCATTACTCAACGCACAGACACATTCCCTCACCTGCCACCGACACTTTGTTGACACGAGAAAAGCCTTCGTATTCAGAGGGCAGAAACTGTAAAGCTTAAATCTTCCACCGAGCAGTGAGCTGAATGGATTTAAAGACCTGTCTTTTCTGCTCTGAAGGAGTTTTAACTGAGGAAAGACAGACAGAGGACGAAAACCTCTTCCCTTAGACTCACAGAAAGCCGTATATCATCCAATATCTCTGATGGTTAACACATTCCAAGAGTTATTTTCTGTCATAATTTATCTTTTTGGCTCACCCGCCATTCATTCAAACGTGTTTACTCTTTTTCAGTTAGTGATTTGCAACCAAATGTCCTGTCCAGAAAAATGTTAATCGCTTAAATGCAGTATGTCTTTGGGCTCTGTCGTGCGATTGATTGTTTTTATATGATTGATGACTTTTGCCAGAAGGAAGTGGTTACTCTTTTATTTTGGACAGGCTGACAACAAAAAAACAAGATAATTTGATCACAGTCAAAAATGTCTTGTTTTAAAGGAATTATTTTGCAAAATACACTTAATCGATCCATCCATTCAATACGAAGGTGCGGTCTGTTAGCTTAGCTTAGCATCAAGATTGGAAACAGGGGAAACAACTAGCCTGGAGTCGAACCCTAACCCTAAAAATATGTTTTTGTTTTTTGCTGGTAGTTGCATTTTGTTACCTTTCCTACAAAGCTAGGCTAGTGGTATCAATCTTCTCATCTAACTCTCAGCAAAACAGTGAATATTTCCTGAAATGTCGAACTATTCATTTAAATTCTACAACGTATGAGAGATGCAATCCCTAAGAGCATTTTTAGCCATGCAAAGTTGTTTTAAGGTGGAATGAATGTTTCTTAGTTATAAATCAGGGTTCCTCTTTTATAGAACTGAAAACATATTTTCTTTGCTCTGAGGTCAGCCTGTATTAAGTTGAACTGGTGCCATAACACAAGTTTCCAATAATAGATTCTCACCTCGACATGCAGGTTTATAACCGGGGCCTTAACAGCAGACTGTCTGACGCCCCTGAATAACAGTGACTCACTGTATCAGCTCTCCAGATCATTAAACAGCCTCTCGGCTAAAGGTGTCTTCAAGTCACTGTGAGGTAGAATAAGGCAACAATGGAAGAGTCTGTGTCACTGAGTTTGAGCCAAGTCTCATCGCTGAAAGCCAAAGTTTGTGCTAGTCCAGACATGCTGTCAGCTGTGGCTCGTGGCTGTTGCAGTTGTGTTTTTGTTGTTTATCTTGCCAGTTCAGAGCAGTTTATTAACCTCGTCTCATGTATCATGTTTTATCGGTCCCAGACATTTCATAACCCCCGGCTGTTAGGTTGGCATGTACTGTAAATAATTAATAGTATTTAATGTTTATACTCGTGCCGTGTTTTGTTTGCATGAGCATGGAGGCATATGTTTAATTTTAGATACACACATTACTCTGTTTCAAATATAAATTGTTTTGTTATTTCCAAAATAAAGCATAAAAACTGGCATTCCTGTGTGATTCTTCACATTTAACTAAAGTAATACCCAAAGTAGGCTCGTAGGAGACGCTTTACGGCTTAATTAGAAACCAAAACATTTTGTAGATATTGATAATGATGATCATTGGACCCAGAACAACCTAAAAAAAATTGTTTAAACATGGCATTATCTGGTTGGGTTGGCCTGTTCTGACTCCCAAATGTGAATGAATATTGAAAAATGTTTGTGTTTTCTTAATTTGATGAAAATAAGAATTAACCTACATTTACTGTCAGAAAGTAAATAGAGGTATAATAATTGCTTGATTATTAAGGAGATAAATGCACATTGCTTGTATATTAGCTTTCAACGTAAATTTATTAATTGTCGGATAAAATGATGGCTGCCCTGATAACTTTGCAGAGTTGTAAAATGTGTGTCATACTTACTTTAAAACAGTGCATGTTTTGGCATCTGATAA